GGGCACCACTGTGACTGGAGCCTCTGTGGGATCATCTGGTTCTCCCCTCTGCCCGGCCCCCAACACTGTCTTGAAGTTACCCTGTTAATTGGCGTATTGTTCTTGCTGAGCACTCACACAGTTCTCTTCCATCTGGTGAGCCTTAGACGGGACACCTGTTTCTGACAATTTCCTCCCCCAAAATGTGAATTCAGGACCCCTCACAGCGGCCAGGACTCCAGAGCGGGTGTCCTGGACCAGGCAGCAAACCAGCACATCTCTAGGTAGAAGTCTAAGCTTTGTCTTTCACCAGCTGTGCGACCCTGGCAAGTCACATCCCCTGCCTGAGCTTCAGCGTCTCCTTTTCCTTCTCTCCCTCCCATTGTCTCTGTTTCTGTGTGTCTCTTACTGCCTGTCTCCGGGCCCCTCTCCTCCTGTCTTTCTCCTCTCCGTTTCCTTGTGTCCTGGAGCTCTTCTCCTCTCCCTGTCTCTCTCTGTGTATCTCTTTTCCCTGACTCTCTGTGTCTGTGCCTCTGTGTGCCCCACCCCCACCGTCCACTCTTTCCTCCTCTCCTCTCCTCGTCCACGCGGCCTCAGCAGATGAAATGGAACGTGCCTTCCTGCAGAGAGCTGGCCAGAGAACAGCTGTCGGTGCTGGAAGGAGCTGTTGAGCGGTGGCCAGGAGACCCCGGGGGCCTGGGCAAGCCACGCAGGCTGAGCCCAACACCGCGGGGCCCCGTTGGAAATTTTCCACACCTTTCCCGCAGGTTCCAGGATAGACGTGGTGCCTTTTTTAGGATTTCTGACCTTGGAGGCAAGCCTCGGCCTTGTCTGCCAGCCTCTGGGGACAGCATGCGCTGGGCCTGGGCTCAGAGACTGATCCAAGGGCCAAGCTCCCAGGATTGGTGGAATGTGGAGGATCATCACCCAGGGGCCGGGCCGGGGCTACAAAGGGAGGGAATCCGTGAGCTCAGGTCTCCTGGGGATAGGATGAGATCATGGAAAGGATGTGGAGTAACAGGTTTTGTCATTCATTCATTCAACAAGCATTCATGAAGCCACCACTCTGTGCCAGACTTGGGCTTAGCCCTGGGGACAAAGATGAATCAGACGTGGCCCCTGCCCTCGAAAAGCTCACGGTCTCCCCTCAAGTGGGTTGTTGGGAACACGTTCTGACAGAGGCCGCTCTGGGCTGTGGGAAGCTCATTCCAGCTGCGGGGAGGAGGGAGAGCTGGAGAGAACAAGGAGGACGGTGTCTGCAGTGATTCAGGCTGAGGGCAGGGTGCCCAGGCCAGCACGGTTGGAGGTAAAAGCCCAGGGACTCTGGTGACTGACCAGATGAGGATGAGGAGGGAGAAGAAAGAGTCAAGATGGGGCCCATCCGACTTGGATGGCAAAGCTCAGCTGAGGCACATCCCAGGAGGGGAGGGCGAGTCGGCTGTGCCCCTCTGGAGACTGTTAGGTGGAGATGTCCGAGAGGCTGATGGACACGTGGGCCTGGGCGAGGGCAGCAGTTCCAGAGTGGCCCGCATTGTACAGTAATTTAAACCATGTGGGTGGATGATTTGTCCACCGATCGTGAGTAGAGTGAAAAGAAAAGAAGGCTGTGGACAGGGTTCCCAGGGGCCCCCACATTTATTGGGCAGGAGAAAGAGGAACCCGCCAAGAATGCGGACGGCAGCAGGGAGAGGAGTGTGAACCGGGACAGGTGGTGCCATGGGCTCCAAGGACGGTGCAGCTTCCACCATCCTGACTGCGGGGTCCTGTGGAACTAAGCCCCAAAGAGGGCGATGGGGGTGGGCGAGGGGGACATGGGCTCAGGCGCGAATGGCTTGCACCGTGCAGCCCTGCAGCAAGGACTGCATGGAGAAGGCGCCCCCTGGAGTCGTGCAAGGAGCAGCCTCATGCAGACTAGGGACAGGAGGGACCTGGTTCTCCCTGGCCTGGCGCGAAGGAGGTGATGGCTGCTGGGGCTTGGAGAAGATGGGGCTAGGAATTTGAAAAGATCATTCCTGATTGCTTCCAACTTCCCAAAGTATCTGAGGTCTTTCGTTTAGGTCTAAAGATGCACAATGAGGGCCTGGAACCACTGAGGTTGAGGGAATGGACGGGGCACCGACTGGCCACTGAAGCTTGCCAGGCGGTGCTCAGGCTCCAGCCAGCATCCTGCAAGGCCTGGGCCCTCCACAAGCTCCAGGAATGCTCCTTTTGGAGCGGCCACTCCGCCCATGAGTAAATATTTGCCACTGCTCCTGTGCAGCCTGAGGAGAGCTGTTTTCCCTGGTGGCTCTTGAAACCCTCTGGGCAGCCTCCTGCTGGGCCTGGAGGCCCTCGTCTTTAAACGGGTCTCCATGGAGGCAGAAAAGGAATTGCCTTTGCTGCCAGGAGTAGATTCCAAGAGCCGCTGGCAGACTTCCTGCAGCCTGCGCACAGAGGCCGCCATGGCCGGTCCCTTCCAGCCCCCTTGCGCTCCAGGGGCAAGCAAGAGTGGGGACGCCTCTATGGCCCCAGCCAGGGACCGGCTTAGACCATCACTCAAGAGTGCACTGTGGGCTTTTCCAAAGGACGTTCACCCCGCCTGCCTCATTAGGGCTTTACAGCTGCCCACAGAGTCAGCTGAAGGGACATGTACCCATTTGACACACGGGAAAACTGAGGCTGGGGGCAGGGAAGCTGCTTGCTCAGGATCATGTAGTGGATTCTCACAGCCTTGACAGGAGCCCGAGTCTTCTGTCCTCGACAGCTCTGGGTCAGGGCCGGAGCTCTGGGAGGCCTGTTCAGGCCTGCGTTGTCTAAGCCTCTTCTGCTTTAGCTTCCCAGATGAGTGTCACTCACCTCCTAGTCTTTGCACGTGCCCTTCCCCCTACCTGGAACAGCCTCCTCTCAGTGCCACCCCACTCCCATCCTCACCTAGCTAACTCTTACCCCATCCTTCAGCTGGCAATGCCTCCTCCAGGAAGGCTGCCCTGAGCCCAAGTTGGATTAGATGCCTCCCGTGTGCTGTGACAACCCCATGTGCTTCCTTCCATATAGAGCGTAGTGCCCAGGGTCTAAAGAGCCTGATTCTCGAGACTGTGAGTGCCTGACAGGAGCCTGCCTGGTCACCCCTGCCGGGCACTAGATACACATTCAGCCGTGGCTGTCAGACGAATGAGAAAGGGTGGGGGGAGGGAGAACACGTCTTCATAAGGGCCTCTGGAGTCAAACCAAAGCCTTCCCCATAGAACTGGAGAGCTGGAGGAGCCCACAGGTGTCACGCAGCGCCCTCCATCCCTTGTGCATAGAGAGGAGCTGAGAGCATTCAAGCATGATGGTTTGCCCAAGGTCTCAGGGTGGGCGTGGTGGGTCCTGGTCTAGAACCGAAGTCTCGAATTCCCGATCCAGTGATCTTCCACGGGGATCCACAGGTGGGATTCCAGGGACTGGGAGGCCAGCAAGGGAGAGTTTCTTGGGGTTGGGGGATACCAGCCCAGAGGTGTGCGAGGCTGGCTCACCCGCCTGCTCCAGCCGCTGTGCAGTCCCAGCCTCGCTCCCTCTGTGCCAGCAGCCTCTCCGTTCCCCGACAGCTTGTCCACTTTCTGTTCTCCTCAGACCTCCCTGGGGCTGTCAACATGCTGACCTTCCGGCTTCCCACCTGTCACCACCCGTCACAGGCAATTAGAGTAATAGTTCAGAGATTTCCCCCCAGGTTCTGAGATGAATAGTGAGCAGGAGGGGAGCACGCTGCCAATGTGAGGGGGCCGCAGGGCAGGCACACAGGCAGGGAGGGCCCGAGGGGCCCAAGGCAAGCACCTGGCCACCCCCACTCTGCCCACATCGAACAGGTGAGGACACTGAGGCCCGGGGAGGAGGAGGGGCTTGCCAGCGTGCTGACTCCCCGCAGTTATTGCCTCCACAGTCACGTGGCCTCCCGAGCGTTCTTCTGACCAGAGCCTGGAGAGCCTTCCCTGTGTTCTCCCCGCTCAAGCCTGCATCCCACCAAAGGTGGGCAATTCCCGCTCTCCTCCGGGGCTGTGGACTAAACGATTCACTCCTACGATCTCAGTGTCTAACAGGGATGACCACAGAGCAAGCACGTCACAAATGTCTGTTTAGTGAATGAATGATGAATGATTGATGAATGACTGATAGTGAATGAAATGAATGATTAGTGGGTGGGGAGTGAGATGAAGCCCAGCCCCCTCCCCCACCACGCAATGAGGCCACCTCTGCGGGGTTCAGTTCTGCGTTTGTACCTCCTCTGTGCCACGCCACTTGTCTGCTGGACCCTGCTGTCAGTGGGGTTCTGTTGCTCTCTCCATCCCCAGAATCTTACATCTCAATGAGTGCTCAGGGGCCATCTCAGGGTCTGTGCTCTTGTGTGTGGTCCACAATGTTGGATAGATGGTGAATAAATTAATCCGCTAGGGCTCGGATCCAGCCAACATGGACTGAACATGTGCAGGGCAGTGGCCACGTGGTCTCTGGCCTGTGGAGCCTGGCAAGGAGAGAGACATGAAGCCACAGAATGCCCCCGCCTGCTGAGGGAGGGGAACTTGAGTTGCTGGTGGAACTTATAAAGATGAGCCATGGACCTGTTGGGGGCTTGAGGGCTTGTTGGAGGAGGTTTCCTCCGAGGTGGGTCTTGCATGACTGCTGGAGGCTGTCCCTGCCTGGACATCTGGGGCTGGAGTCAGCTTAAAAGTATGAAGCACAGCGCTGCAACAGGAAACACGCCTGAGCCTTCACTATATGCCAGACACTGTTCCCCAGTCATCACAACAACCCTGGAGGTTACTATTACAGTCATTCCCACTTTACAGATGGGGAAACTAAGGCACGGGGAGGTAGAAGCAGTAAGCAGCGAGTTAGGATTTGGACCCAGGAAGGCTGGCACCAGGACATCTTCCCACTACACCGTACTGCCTCTCAGGGAGTCTGGGGCCTCAACTTTGGTGTCAGTCACTGGCCTGAGGCTATCCCCAGTTGCTAGTGACCTGGCATATGGCTGAGCCACATGAGCTTTGTCTCTTGTGTTCCAGGTCACTTTCTGGGGAACAACACAGTCATCGACGTCCTCCGGCAGGCAGGGCTGGAAGTGGAGCACACGCCCGCGGGGCAGACCATCCACAGGTGAGCAGCCGGGGCATCGGGGGACGGGCTATTGCTGCCAATCTACCGCCAGACCTGACTGTGTGCTGCATGGCCGGCTGCACCCTGCCTTCCTGCTCAGCCTGCAGGGGAGAGCTGTGAACAGGCTTCTGGTGAGATGGGGCTTCGCAGAGGTCAGCCTTGACTGGGCACCCAAGAGCGGAGGGGCTGGGCTGGAGGTGGGGAGGCTGGAAGGAGGCTGGCACACAACTTCACGGAGGCGCGGGTGGCAAGGCGGGGCAGTGGCAGTGGGAATGGGAGGAGGGTAGGTTTGAGAGGTGTTCACAAGTTAGAGACTGGTGGCTGAGTGGGGTGGAAGGACTCTATAGGACTCCCAGGCTGCTGCTTAGAAGAATTGGGGATGCCCAGGCCCTGAATCGAGATGGGGCCGTGGGTGGGATGAGCAGTGGCCTGGCTTCTTTCCTGTGTCCCAGCCCCACCCCCACCTGTCCTCACCTTCCTCTCACCACACCTGCTCCATGGCTGCCTCTTGGCCGTACCCTCCACCCCTGACTCTCCTGCTAGGGCACCCACTGCACTCAAAGAGCCATGTGGTGGCCATCCTCTCCTCCTGTGGGGGTTTCCTGTCCCACCACCCCAGGCTGGGAGCTGCCCAAGAGCAGGAGCCAGCTGGGTCCAACAGTGGTCCCAGCGCCAGCGCCAGGCTGGGCATGGCGGGCATCAGCGCATGCTGGGCAGCTCCAGAGTCAACGACACGATCCTCAAGCTCAGATTCCAAGCAGCTCATGCTCCCACCTTTATGCAGGAACCTTCCTCACCCACCCGCCAGGGTGACCACAGTGTGATTTTGGCCCCTGTCTCTGACATTACAAAACCCAGAGTCCAAAAGAAACTTGAATCATCATAGCTAATACTTACTGACTGCTCACTGTGTACCCAGCTCGACAGACTTTGGCTCACTGAGTCCTCACAATAACCCCATGATGTAGGAACTCTGAGTATCCTCATCTCCAAATTGAGGACTCTGAGGCCCAGAGAGGTGAAGTCACTCGCAGAAGGACACACAGTTCACATAAATGGCAGGCTGGCTCTAGGGCCTCCCTGAGCTCCTAACCACTCCCTGTACCCTGTCTGGAGTTAGGAATGCAGTTCAGGATGGGAGTACTCAGACGCAACAGAGGCCTGGCCTTCACGCAGCACACCTGAGTCCCCGGGGTCACCAGAGCTGGGAGCTCCAGACTCCTGGCTCCCGGCCAGCGCTCTCCCTGTTTCCGTGGCGCTTCTAGAGGAACCTCTAAACTCTCTCACGCCGGCCCCTCCTGTCCTCGTCTTGGTCATTTGAGCACAGCACAGATCAGTGTGTGCTGGGCCAGGCCAAGTGTGTGTGTGAGGGGTGAGGGACCCGAGGTAGGCTCGGGGACAAGGCCCTTCTCAAGCTCCCTGTCACAGCCCCAAGGACCTTCCCCTTGAAGCTCATTGTGTCTGTCAGGCCACAAGGCTGCCTCCTTCCTATTCATCTCTGAGCCGGCACTCAGGAGGGTCCCCCCTCCACCCCCAAAGGCCCGCTCCGGGGCTCTCAGCCCGAGCACAGGCTGGAATCCTGCGGGCGGGGATGCAAGGAGGCTCCGACAATAAAAGCGGCATCGGCCACAGGTGCTTCCTGGATCCATCTTTTTGTCTGCCTGTTTTGAATTATCTCCCCAGCAGCTGCGGCATCTCCCGGACCCCGGGAATCCGGGGCTGCGGTGGGGCTGGGGGCGGACAGGCCGAGCTGATGGCCTTCTCTCCTTCAAGGAGAGAGCACCCCTCCCCCCACGGAGCGTGCAGGAAGGGAGTGCGGGCCGGGTTGCTCGCAGCCTGGGGTGCCACCAGACCCTTAGTGTTCCCGAAACCCTGCCCAACCTCTCCCAGGGTCAGATGTCCCCAGTAGGAATTCTGTTGGGGCCACAGAGAGAGAGGAAAGAAGAAAGGGAAGAGGAGCACAGGATGTTCCCAGGCTGAGGGGTGTCTGTGTACACCTCTGTATGGAAAGTGAATGCCACACACACGTAGCCCCATGTTAGTGCCCATGACAGCCGGGCCCGTTGGCTTGTTGGGCCACACCACAGAGAGGCCTGTGTGTGGCAGGCATGCTGCGAAGACCTCCTCTTTCGTCCTCATGACGACCTTGTGGAGTAAGCAGTAATGCTATGCCCCTTTCACAGCTGGCTGCTGCTTGGGACGATTGTGTCCCCTGCCCGCAGTCACATGGGCTGTAAGTCGCAGAGCGGGTACAGAAGCCCACATCCCTCCCTCCAGCCAGAGCTCTAACCAGCTGACACTGTCCTGCCTCCTTTGAAAGGTGCTCAGGAAGTGTGTGTGGGATGCGTGAACGGACGGTTGGACGGACGACACAAGCAACAATGCTAATATTTAATCATATTTAGTAATTAATAATGTTCATCACTAAAATGCCTCAGTTGCTTGCTGTTTGCCAGGCACTGTTCTAAGAGCTGTACCTGTGTTCACTTACATCAGCCTCCTGATGCCCGGGGAGGTACAGGCTGGAATATCCCCGTTTCGCAGAGCAGGAGACCGAGCACAGCGACGTTAGGTCACTCTCCTCATGTCCCTCAGCCAGAGCTTTCTGAGTGCAGGCGACCCCGGCCAAGATCAGACATGTCCCAGAGACCCGCCGTGCATGGCTCACTCCCTGACCTCCTGCTAGTCTGGACTCAAATGTCCCCGGGCAGTGACCAGCCTGCCTCCCGGCCCAGCGCCCCTGCCCCCGGCCTGTCTCTGCTTTGTCTTCCTCCCCAGCAGTTGTCAGCACCTGACATCCTGCAGGTCTTACTCTCCATCTTCCGCTTCGGAATGTGAGCTCTCAGGGGACGGGGACGGTGTTTCCGTCACTGCTTTTGCCCAGGTCTCAGCAAAGTGCCTCGTGCAGTGTAGATGCTCAGTAAATATTGATTGATTTCACTAGTGGAAGAATGTGTCAGATCTCCATCTGTCCACACCAGACAGTGGTTCTCCTGGGGTACTCTCCCCTGCCCAGTGGGGGCATGTGGCATCTGGTCCTGTCGGGACAACTTCCCCACTGAATTGCACTCCCCGTCGCTCCAACATGTGTGCCTCACGTGCTGTTACCCTTTCCAGCCCTGCCGCCCAGAGCCCAGCGCCCCCTCCTGAGGGAACCTCGGCGAGCCCGGCCCCAGTGACCCCAGCTGCTGCCATCCCCACGGCACCCTCGGCAACCCCTACCACCCCGCCCGAGGAGGAGGACCCGGCGCTGTCCCCACACCTCCTGCTCCCCGACAGCCTCAGCCAGCTGGAGGAGTTTGGGCGGCAGAAGAAGTGGCGCAAGAGGCAGAACAAACACCAGCGGCCGCGGCAGTTCAACGACCTCTGGGTTCGCATCGAGGACAGGTGAGCTGGGGAGGGCAGGTCTGCCCAGAGCCCGGCCTCGCTCCCGCTCAGCCCGCCTCTGTTATCCGCAAGCCGGACTCTAAGGAAGCGTGGCAGGTGGGCAGCTGAGTGGCAACTTCAGGGCTGGCTTGTCTCCCAGTCACAAAGGATCCACCTGTTCATCCTTCAGGTTTAGAGAGACACTCACATCTGATTTCTCATTTTTATCTCAAAACGAAAGCTGGTATAGTTTTCTCCACTTTAAAGGTGAGGGAATCGAAGCTTCCTTAAGGTGCAGTGCACAAAAGTCTGCTGTGCCCTTAGCTTTCCTGGATGCACCTGGGGTGCAGAGACGAATCCAGGAGAAAGTGGAGCAAGGTGCTACATCAAAGGCAGTGAGCTCCCTGCGCCTGGAAGGTCTGAGCGGCCAACACCCTGGCACAGAGGCTGCAGAAGGGATCCCGCTGTGCAGGAGAAAGATGGCAGATGGTGCCTGACACCCTAGTGCTGTGGGCTGTGTCTCGGGAAGGGACGGGGACTTTGTGATAAACCTGGTTGAAAATGGGCAGGTGCAGAAATCAGCTGACTGTGCTGATGTCTCCCCATCCTCTGCCTGTGCCATCCCCTCGGACCACTCCCCAGCCTATCTGTCACCAAAGCTCCTGCTGTGACCAGGATGCTGTCTTCCAACCTCCGCCCACAGGCTCAGTACAGAGCAGTCTCCCTAGATTCCGCTTTGGGGTAGGAATCTCCATATTTGGTGAGCAGTGTCGCCACAGCCCCCAGGATGTCCCAGGGAATGACCATCAGTGAAGGTCAGAGTCCTACCCTCTGCTGTAGCCCAGGCCTGGACATTGTGCCCTGGTTGTTGGCCCTCGGAGATACAGTCTCCATCGGACCCTAAAGATCATCATCCAGGATTTCCTCAGCATCCGCAGATGCTGGGGTACTTGTAAACACACAAATTCCCAGTCACCCCCACAGACCTCGTCACTCAGAGCCTGCACTGCAGGGGCCTGGGAAGCCACGGGTTGCGTCTGCAATAGAGTCTTCTGAGCAGTTTTGGGAAACTTGGACCCAGCTTTGCGTTCACTGATGGTGAGCCAAGGCAAGGCCCGGGGGCAGGGGACCTGTCCAGAGTCACCCAGGGAATCAGGGGCTGCCTCCTGCGCTGTCCACTTCATGATCCTCCTGCAGCCGGGTCTCTGAGTCATGGACAAAAGGTTGGCATAGTCCAGACCATTGTCTCAAAGTGAGGGGCGTGCACTATTTTTAAAAGACTTCCAGCAAATAAGAGCCGAGCCCATTGCTCCTTTGGGCATTGGTTTCCAGGCGCCTGGCTAGGGTTACTGGGAAATGTCCTTCTGCAGAGCCCTGGCTGGCCCGCCTGCCCGAGCACTGAGCACTGCTGCAGCTGTATTAGCTGTGACACATTTGGCTCACGTGCCCAGCATGGGCCGCCCCCTTCAAACCGGGAGCCACTTCCGTCAGCCCCGGGGAGGGCTCGCAGGCTGCCAGGGAGGCGTGGGGCAGACGCAGGCGCTGGCGGCTCACACAGAGCTCCAATCAGGAGGGTCACTCAGGGCCCCGATCAGCTTGCCGGGGCGACCAGGAGACCTGGCCAGTGGTGGGTCCAGCCTACGGGATGACAGGAGGCTGGCTGTCAGCTCCAGCCACAGGCCCCCAGCCCATAAACCACGTCTGAAAGGTAAATTTCGGCCAATGGCTCCAAACGGCTTCCTTTTCACAACACGTAGCTCTGAGACACAGAGCCTGGTTTCAGGAGAAGAAAACAGCTTTTCTTTGGCAAGGGGAAGCCCCTTCTAGGTCCTGACAGGTAAACTGTGGTCGGATAACGTTCCTCCATCTGGTTGGGTTGGAGAAGGAAGTTTCCACCGACCAGCCGCCAGTTTGTTGAGTTTCTTGCGGCTTCTAAGGGAAGCGGGCCCTGAGCCCCCCTGAGAGGCCTGGGTGCAGAGCACAGCTTCCTCACTCCAAGGCACTCACCCCATCCTCCTAGGGTGCCCAAGCTTCCAGTTCTCCAAGAGGGAGCAGAGGAGAGCTCCCTGGGGGAAACTCGGGCCCGTTTGTAGTCATTCTAACACAACCATTTTCCTTGGAGCTTTAATTTCATTCAGAGTTTTCTCATTTTCTTCCCCCGAAACCCCACTGGAGCCATCCCCTCCTCTCCATCGCCTCTCCCCAGCTCACCTTCCACCTGTGATCCTGCAGCAGGGTCCTCCTAACAGGTCTCTTGGCCCTGCATCTTGCCAGCACATCAAGCCCCGCCCCCCCCCACCCTCCACCAGGTAGACTCCTTGCCTTCGCCTCCCTTCCTGCCTGATCCCCCTGCTGGGGGTGGGTGCGTGTGGTCATTTGCCAAGCTCCCGCTCTGTGCCAAGCACTATGTCCCCCAGTCCTGTCAACAGTACTGCGAGTGAGCCTTGTTCGACAAACGAGGAAACTGAGGCTCAGCGAGGTCAGCTGACTTGCCCAAGACCACGCAGCAAGTTAGGTGTGGAGTCAGAACCCACACCCAGGTCTGTGTAATGCTAAGGGTCACCCTCGTCCATGGCCACACAAACGTCCCTCCCGCCCTCCCCCGGTGTGCATCTCCTCCATCCTTGCCCAGCTGAGGTCTCCCTTCCTCCTGCAGCTTTCTCTGCGCTCCCCTCCCCCACATTCCCACAGCCCCTGGGGTGCCACACACTGCAACTCCTCACCTCAGTTTCTAGGCCAGGAGGCTCTGGAGACCAAATCTGGGTTGGACTTCTCTGGGTCACTGGAGGCCTCTCTGAGGGTTTGTTGACCGCATGCGTGAGTGAGAGAAGGAAGGAGACAGCCAGGGTAGGGGCTGCAAGTGCCTGGTCAGGACACCACCTAGAGCAGGCCGGCCTCCCCTCTCCCCTCATTACCCGAAATGTAAACACACCGGAGGAAGTTTAGAGAAGCAGCAGCCCGTGGCAGGATGATTTATGGGGACCCGCGGAAAGGGCCAAGCGCGTGTCCACAGATGGCTGCACCCCACTGGCAGAGCACTCTTAGGGAACCCCCACATCAGAGAGCCAGGAGCGGGCAGCAGGGCGGGGCCGTTCCCACGCCGGCTGTGCGCAGGGCTCCGCCCCAGTGCAGTATGGGACTTGTGACAACCCTGTTTCTCCTTTTGTGCAGTTAGGCTTTGACTGGCCTCTGGAGGTCATGCCGACTCTGTTGTCCTCCCAGTCCGCAGCCGGGGTGTGCGTGTGTGTGTGTGTGTGTGTGTGTGGAGTAGTACACTGGGCCATCAAGATGGAAGGGCAGTCCTGAGGGGGCAGGTGCAGGGAAGAGAGCACCTTCCCGGTGCTGGGCACGGCCCAAAGCAAGACACAGAGGGGGGCATCAGTGTGTGACGGACCCATGGTGTGGGTGCCACCGTGCAGGGGCAGGAGGTACAGGACACCTACATGCAGGGGGTCATTGCCCTTCTGGGCCTCAGTTTCCCCTAAGGTGTGAGCAGATGGCCCAATCCCCCTCGGAGGGAAAGAGACACAGTGTTCCAACCCCTGGGCCCCTGGGAGGGCTCTGCACACACCTCCTGCTGGCCTGCCCGTCCTGCCCCGAGGTTCTCTAGCTCCAGTTTCTCCTGGCACAACCGGGCCTTCTTCTGGGACAGGGTGATGGGTGTCTTTGCATGAGGCAAGAACCCCATCTGATTAGAGGTGGAAGATGCCCCCGTGAGAAACAAGAAGCAGGATCACTCAGTGGATAACAATGCAGATGGATTCAGGCAGAACTGGCTTCAAATCCCAGCCCCTCCTCGTACCTGCTTTGAGGCTTCGTGAGTAAGCGCCATGATACTTGTAGAGTGGTAGCCGGCACCAGAACACGTGACACTCAGTAACAGCTGTCTCCAGAGTTGTTGGCCAGGCTCTCAGTGTCGTCTAAGATGCCCCACTCGCCCGTCCCCAGTAAGAGCTGCTCGAGGTCCTTTAAATGAGCTACTGGGTGGATGTTGCACATCCCCCCACCCTAGTTTAACAGGAGCACAAGGGCCGCACACGGGGTACCCAGCCCCACATTGAGTGCTGGTGGGGACGAGGGCAGGAAGAGTCTTGGGTGCCAGGCAGGCAGGGACAGCTGAAAGAGCCCCGGAGCCACAGTCCGTCTGCCGGTGCCTCTGAGGGGTCCGGTCAGCGGGGGCTGAAGGGCCTGGAGGTCAGAAGTGGTGAGGATGGCTGAGGGTAGGGTGCAGGCATTCCCAGCAGAGAACACCATGTGCCCATAGGCGTGGCGGCTGGCGTGGGGCTCAGTAGCAGGAGGTCACGCAACAGGCAAACCCATCACTGTGGATCTGTGCCTGCGTCTGACCTGGTGGCCCCGAGGCTGAGGCCAGACCGGAGTCGCACTGAGGTCTCCTCCAGCCGGACCACACTGAGAGCTCTGCCCCCAGGCGGCAGGACCACGGTCACCAGGCCCTGCACGCCCAAGCTCCATGGCCCCTGGTCTCCTCGGAACCCTCCAGGGAGGTCACCCAGGGCATAGCCCTGCAGCCCCTGTGTTGGCACAAAAGCCATGGCCCCCAGACTCCCAGAACCCGGCCCTGGATGGCTCCTAGGAACCCTCTAGTGCCGAACTTGGCCCCCTGCTCCCGGAAGCCCTACAGGGGGGTGGCACGACAGACGCCATCTCAGGCACTGACCCCAATTTTCTGTGCTTCGTACCTTGGGCTTCTGCCTAAGCTCTCCCTTCTGGCTTCTGCTGCCAGAAAACATTTCAAGTTGATGGGTCTGCTCCTGCTCCTTCATTGTACACTTGGGAAACTGAGGCCTTAGAGGTCAGGACTTGCCCACAGTCATGCAGCAAGCAGGAACATGGGCTAGAACGAGGCCTCTGCCTTCCGCCGGGCAGAGGGGCCCTTCCCCACACGAGGGGCCCTGCGGGCTGGGAGCAGACTCAGCCCCCTGGTGCCAGCCGTCTGCAGAGCCTGGGAACACTCAGTGTGTTTGGTTTGGCTTCAAGGCCCTCTTGCCATTTTCCCAGCATGAGCCTGGGGGTGTCGGGGGGTCTGGACTGGGGACTGAGTTTTGTGAGCAGAATGGGTTGGGGAGGCAGGGGCACGTGGAGGGGCCTTTCCTCCCCACCCCAGCCTCACCCCATTTCCCTGGGACTCCTTCCAAGCAATAAAAGCCCCCTCAGCTCCAAGGGGGCGTTTGCATCCTTGGTTTCAAAGTATGAAAGCAAATGCCTTTGGGCGCCTCCAGACGCAATTTTCCTGCCTCCTCCTGATGGGCAGCCTGGGCTGCTCTGGGCACCCTGGTGGCGCACAGCCTCCTCTCCCGAGGCCAGCCCTCGGGCCGCCCAGCTAGGGCTGAGAGGACCAGGCAGCAGCTAGGAAGGTACTTTCCAGGGACCCTCCGTGTTGTATGGTGAAGAGCTTCTTTTCAGTAGAAAAAGAAGAGAGGGAGGGGGCTGGGGGAATGACTCCCCAGGGCAGGCATGATCCCTCCAGGGACTGAGGCCGCATGAGGCCTTATCTGCCACCCTGGCAGCCTCCCCCATGGGTCTCAGCGGAAGCACCGCACTTCCCTCCTGGCTCTCCTTCCCACGTTGGCTCATCCCTCAGCTGGGGACAGCACCGAGGCCCAGCTCGGGCTGGGGAGCCAGAGTGCTCGGCGCACAGCGTGTCCTGGTCTCCTTCCTCATCTTGGAAATGGGAATAACAGTACACATGCGTAGCATCAAGCACAGAGTCTGCCGGCACATAGGAAGTGCTCCATAAGTGGAGGATGCTGTTAGGGGGAGAGACACAAACACAAACATCTTAATAATGGTGCTAAAAGTAGCCAACACCAGGAACACTTCCCACGTGCAAGTACGTTACGTACGGAAACCCATTCGAACCTCGTCTGCATAAACAGGTGCCTATGACACAGTGTGACCAGTGAGAAATGCACGGGGTTCTGTGGGAGCCTTAACTCTCCCAGGTGGCACTGGGGGATAGAGGACAGATCAAAGAGGCCTCCAGTCGAGGGGACGTTGAGTCAGGCCTTCAAAAGTGAGTTGGGAGATGACAGCAGGGCATTATATGTGGCTGGAGAGAGTGGTGCGTGCCGGGAGAGCCAGGGAGCTGAGGTCAGCCAGCACCTGGTCCTGTGAGAGGTTTTGGACGCTCTGAAAGCTGGCACGGGGTGAGAGGCGTAACGTGCCAGACTTCGTGGGCTCTAAGGGGCATTTGAAGCCACCTGGTCCACCCCCCCCCCCACTCAGTTCCACATGCACACTCTCTATTCAGGAACATCTTCCCTCTGTCGGTGGCTCGTGACAGGCATTTGCTCCCTTCTCTCCTGGCCGCATCTCTGGGAGTTTCTGAAGACAGAGGAGCACAGTACATCACAGCTGTCCGCTACAGGTGGAGAAGAACCTCACCCAAGGACACAGCAGGTTCTTGTGGCTGGAGCACGACCAAGAGTAGGGAGGGAGGGAGGGCCGGGTCAGGGAGCAAGGACCCGTTCCTCTGCTGAAGGCATCTGGACACCCCCTTCCCCAGCAGAGGCCCCAGCCCCTGTGGAGGCAGAGGTGTGTTGGTGTCCCCCGCGCTCCCCTGCCCGCCTGCCTCAGCTGAAGCTGAGCCAGGCTGTGAGAGAGCCAGGGCTGGGCTGTGGTGGTAAAATTACAGAGCTCACCATGGTGGAACAGCCCGTTGTTGGGGCCTCATGCCCGATATGTGGACACTCAAGCCAGGGTAAGGTGGGGGACCAGACGACTGGGGAGCGAGCAGCCTGTCGGGAGGGCCAGTAAGCTCTGGAAATCGGGGCAGTGTCCCACAAGGAGGAGGCTGCCCACACTATAGATGGCCAGGGTGGGCCAAGCTTCCTGCCTGTCCATCAGCTGCTGGTGAGCACCTACTGTGTGCGAGGTTCAGATCCTGGCCCTGCCGTGGGTCCTGGAGCAAGTTCCTTACCTCTCTGTGCCTCAGTTTCTTGATAAATAAACCGGGATGATAGACACACCTGCCTCATAGTATTGTCAGGAGGATTAGAGGTTAGCGGACAATAAGGGCCAAGCTCTGTAAGCACTTCCCTGGTCCCCCAGGGGCACCCCCAGCATGCACAGGCTAGACTCGCTGCCGTCCCTGCCGACTGTGGCATCGCCTCTTCCGTGAGACCTTCCTGGCCCCACACTGGATCGGGGCCCTCTGTGTGCCCCTGCCCCTGGGCTTCCCCTCTCTTCCTTGCTCCTCTGGTGTGGGGTGGCCTGTGGACCCACCGCCTCCATCTGCCTCCAGCCACCTGGGGCTCCACAGGGCAGACCTGGGCCCATCGCTTCTTCAGCCCCCACCCTTTTCTTCATCTTAGGGCCTCCCACCCCCTACCGAACCCCCAACCTGGTGGCCTCTCTTTGTCCTTGTCCCCTTTCTTCCCCAGTCCCTGACTTGCCCTCTGTGCCTCTCTTTGTTCATCATTTCCTATCTCTTTCCAGGACTTGAGCCAGTAACCTGCTGCTCCTGCACCCACCTGACCCCTGCCCCACCCCATACTCCCCAGGGCTGACCTCAGCCTGCTCGTGTGTTCTGACCTTAATCTCTCTTTATTTCTCTCCACCTCCCTCTCTCTCTCCTTCCCTCTTTCACCTTGGCTTTCTTGAGCTAAGAACCTTATCCATTATCTCCAAAACCAGATTCTGTTTTTATAGGTTCCTGAAGAACCACACCTTTTGCTAAAACTCCCTGCAGTTATCAAAGCGAGGCTGACCCCAGGGCTCTCTCCACCTGTGGAGGGGCGGCCCGCAGCCATGACCTGGCCTCTCTGAGGCTCTGTTTGCCCATCTGGCGAAGGGGGGTGATGAGACCCATAAAGGTTTGTTTTGAGGACCATCAACACTCTCAGTAGATGACAGCTGTGAGAACTAGGGCGGTGAGGGGGTGGGCTTATTTGCGTGTTCCGTCTTCTGTTCATTTCCAAGGGGCGAGGGGAGGGCAGTGGTGGCCTGGCACCTGTGTGCTGGCTGTGGCGGCCCACTGCCCCAGATCCTGCTCCTCCCTAACACATCAATTCTTTCTGCCTGGGTGGTCTTGAGTGGTCACACTTGAAGCCTGTGTCCTGGAGCCTGGCATAGGAAGGCAACTGTGGCCTCAGGAGCCCAGCCGGCTGTGTGGCCCAGGGCTACTCACTTTCCCTGTCTGAGCCCCTTGTTTCCTTCTCCATTTTATGAGAAAAAAATAGACCCGATTAAAGTTGGATCTGAACCCTCGGGCCACAGCCCAGGACAAGGCAACTGAGCAGTCACTCCGGGTATCCTGTGTTTTCTCCTTCCAGCACCACAGCCTCGCCACCCCCGCTGCCCCTGCAGCCCACGCCCAGCCCTGGGACCGCCAAGCCCCCCTTCCAGCTCTCCGACCAGCTCCAACAGCAGGAAGAGCCGGGGCCCACCAGCAACTCCTCGCCCAGCCGCTCCCGGCCCGCCCTGGGCCTCCTCCCGGCCGTGGCTGCCAGCATCGCAGCGCCGCTCCTGCTGCCCACCCTCAGGTCCTCCTGACCTCGGCCGACCCCTGCCAAGAAGCCAGAGAAACCATCGGAGGGTCTGTGGCCGCACCCCACTGCCCCGCCACCACCTGTCGGGCATTCCAGACGGGATCCGTTAGAAAACTAGAGCTTTATTGTACGTGAGTTACATCTTCTTTTTTGTAGAAGGATCTTAATTTCCCATAGTGCTATGGGGCTTTTTTGTAAAATACGTGTCCATATTAAAAAAGAAAAATGTATTTATTCTACCGATAAAACTATTTTTATGTGGCCTATGTTAATAACCCCTTAATTAGCCCCAACTGCAACCCAGGAGGTGGACCCAGGTTGCCAGGACATCTGCGACCTCACGCGGACTGTGGCTTTGAACTGGCTTGCTTGGGGCTCAGCGGCAGCCTCCGGTGTCTGGGTTTGGCTTCTGCCAGCTTGGGGACCTCAGAGGGAGGGGGAGGCAGACAGGCTTAGCTTTTGTGAAGCTGGATTCGGGAGCCAGAGATGTGAACGCTGACAGTCCTTCCCTCGGCTGGATGCTTCCGAGGGCTGGGAAGATGCTTTAGGAAAGAGAATGCTGCTATTTTGAAAACCCTGAGTGTCTGTGAACTGGCCCTCCAGAGCTCTTGGTAAGTGTTTGACCGAAGCCCCGGGGTGGGGGAGGGACTGGATGCTGATGGAGGTGGTCCCCGGCCCATGTGACAGATGGTTACACTGAGATCCGAAGAGAGGAAGGTGATTGCCCAAGGTCACACAGCAAGTGTGGGATCCAGGATGTGAGCCTCTCTGTTCTGGCGTTAATCCAGCTCGCCTTACAGGAGAGGCTGCTGAAGCCACGGCCAAAGGGAGCGAGCTGAGCCGAAGGACAGGAGTGGGCACAGAAGGGCAGTTGGAGGGCCAGGGAGGGGCTCTAGGAGTCACGTGGTAATAATAATCGTTTGAGAGCTGCCGCTCATCCGGGACCTGCAGCCTGGCAGGCACTTTGCACACTTACTTTATCACTGATTCTCACACCCGTTCTGTGAGATATGTATCCCATTCCACAGAGGAGGAGACTGAGCTCCCATAAGGGATAAGGGGACTTGCTCAGGGTCACCTGGCCGGGACGTGGCCCCGGATCAGTGTGATTCAGAAGCGATGCTTGTCTCCTGGACCGTGTTCTGCTGTGTTCTCCCTGCACAAGGAGGCTCCCAGGGAGGCGGGTCTCATCTTTATTGGGCCCGCAACCTTCTTACTCCAGCCAAGGAGGCTGTTGGGCACACTTACTCTTGTTGATCCCTCTGGCCAAAGGGCTCTGGCAACAGTGTGTGCCACGTGTCTCATGCCCCAACGTGTCTTATCTTAAAGCCAATGAGAGGCTTTCCTGCCAAGTCAGAGGCTGGGAGGCTGGGGGGACAGCAGTGGGGGGCCTGGGGAGGCAGAGCAGCCAAATAGGGGCAGGCAGGCAACTGAGACTCAGAGAGACTAACCTAGCTCCTCTTTCCCCAAACCAGCAGCTGAGGAGGCAGAGGACCCAGGTTGGCTGCCTCCCAGCACAAACCCTCACTGGGCTGGCGGCTCATCAGTTGCAGAGTCCTGGGACCCAAGAGCAGAAGGACCCCCTCCCCCCCCCATTTACAGGTCACAACAGGAAGAGTCATAGTAAAGCCGAGAGGAGAGGCACTTCCCCAAGGCTGCACGCTGGCCAGTCTGCTGACTCCCAGCCAGTGCCCCGAGCATCATGGCACCATGACTTTCCCTGGCAGGCCTGGTAGTGGCTGATTAGCCCCAGGACCATTGTCCCCGGCTTGGCAGCTGTCTCCCTTCTGAGATGGTAGAATTCTGGGCAGCTTGTTGGATGGTCAGAGGCCCCAGGGGCATCTTAGTGGGCAGCTGAATTCTTTTCAGCTCCGCCCCAGATGGATGTGTTTGAGCTTGAGACCTGGCAGGAGTCCTGTGAGGGTCCAGCCAGCCCCGTGGGCACCACACTGTAAACTGAGCTTGACCCCAGCCAGGGCTGGAATCCGTCTATCCTTGGCAGAAATGTGACTTCCTGGTTCTGAGCGGGAAGAGGCTTAGCTGACTTATAAAGCAGGCTCGGAAGGCCTGTTGGACATCAAACAGATCGTGCAAAGCGCTATTAGGATGAGATAAGTGTAAAGGAATTAGAAACACACAGGCCAGATTTCCCTCTGTTCCGGGCAGAGTGTGGCATGAGATGTATTGAGATGGAGCTTGAGGTTAATTAAAGATGAAGCATTTGGGCAAACGGTCCAGGCACCTGACCGCATGCCCAGATCTGTGCCAGGCACGGCGCCAAAGAGGTAAATTAACGCAGTGTGCGATTATCAAGCACACGCAGTGCCAGGCTCTGTGTTGGAGCCAAATCCAGCCACCTTTCCGAGCCTGGAGGAACTCATCATTGAGATGGAACAAGCAGCCCGATCCTATGTTCCTAGAAGGCACTTTAGATGTTATCCTCCGGGCCCCGACCACAGGCAGATTCAGCCCTAGTCTTCCCCAGATCCCTCCTCTGGGCAGACGGGGGGATTCCAAACTCTCGTTCAACCCAGCACCCAAGTGTTTAAAGAAGGATGGACGGGCAGCAGATGGATGGGCTGACTTATTAGGTAGACATGTGCCGATGGGACAGCCAGAGCCAGTGTGGGTCAGACATCTGCAGCCTAAGTTCGCTGATCCCCGAGGACCACCCGCTGGCCAGGGTTTGAGATGAACTGAACTTGCTCACTTATGTCCCCGAAGACCCGAAGCACATATGAAGGGATCTGCATGGCTGGGGCTCTTGAATTCCCTCACCCTGGGCCAGGGAACCACCATTCCATCAGCAGCCACTTATGCACTTGGAGTCATCTATCCACTCCTGCTGACTTTTTTCCAGCACATTCTATGTGCCCAGCCTTATAAAATGCCCCTGTTCCCTGAGAGTATTGTGTACATTTCTTAGGACATTCACATTTGACCTTGAGACAGGCAGGGAAGATGAGAGGAGAAGTCCAGCAGGTGAAGTGGCCTGCCTATGTTAGCCCCAGTCCCTGGTCTCTCAGAAAGCTGACTGAATGACCTGGGGGCCTTGTAGGGCCGGTGAGCACAGCCCTGTCTTCCAGTCTTCTTCCAGACTAGTCTGAAGCTCTAGACGTCAGCCGGATAAAGGCAGGGACAGAGGAGGTGTATGAGTCAGGCTGCAGGGAGATGCAAAGGGCCACCGAGGGCCCCTCTAGCTCTGAGATTCAAAGATCTGGAGTCTAGAGAGCATGGGAACTTGTACTGATTGGCAAATTTGCCTTTGCACTGAAAGACCATGGACAGATTTTTCTTGCGCTGAATGTTCTGTCATCTGCTTCCTGGCCTCAGCTAGGCTTAGGCAAGCCTTGGGGCTCAGGACCCTTATCCCACCGGCCTAGTCTCCAGTCCGGTGCCGTTGTCACAACAGATCGCAAAGAAAGGTCCTCCAAGAGGAAAGTTTATGAAAAACACCATGAAGGACAAGAGAAGATCCCCCCGGGAATTGCAGCTTTGATGGTATCCTGGGGGGCAGAGAACTGAACTGGGGCTGGTGATAGTGTTCCAATGACCTGGGGTAGGAGCCAAAGTCCTCAGCCTGGCATTCTAGACCCTCCACGATCTGGCGCTGCTGACCTTGCCAGCCACATCTCTCATCTCTCCCACTCTGTGCCTGGCCAGACTGAATCGTATTTGTCATTTCGAGAATAAACAGGCTGTTTCACACATGCCACTCCCTAGGCCTGGATACTCCCTTCTCTTACCCATGACTGCTCATCCTTTGAGGATCCACTCAGACAGCTTCTCCACCAGGAAGCCCCCTGCGATTCCTTTGTGCTCTCTTAGCATCTGTCACAACACCCACTCTTCAGTGTTGAGACTGTCTAATTGTGTATCTGCTCTCCCGTCAGACTGTGAGCTTCCCCCATCTGACACAAAGATGGCACTCAGTAGATGTGTGGAGAGGGAAGGAGGAAGGAAGAAAGGAAAAGGAAGGAGAGAGGCAGCTCGTAGCTCTGCTGGTGGAAAGTTACAAAGCCAAGGCCGTCTGAGGATGGACAGGTGCCCCTGCAGGTGGTGAGTTTCCTGTCAGGAGAGGTGAGGTGGGCAGCAGGCCCACTGGCTGGAGATGTGGCAGGAGAGTCAAAGTCCTGGCAAGGGACTGGGGTAAATGACATCAAGGGTCCCTCCTGGCTCTGTAATGCTCAGGTTCTTTGAACATTGTTATTTTTCCAGAAATTCGTCTAGGCAGCCAAAAACATCACCCGGGCTGGCTGTCTAAACCAGTGAGGCTCAGGCGCCGGGCCAGCCCCCCCCTCCCTCCGTGCTTCAACAGCCCAGGCGGGCCAACGTGAACTGGCAGGTCTGCCTGCTGCCGTGAGGCAGCGGGACTCCTGGCCGGGGAGCGGGGAAGGGCTGGACTGGAACCCAGGCCCCTGGCCCCAGCCCGGAGCTCCTTCCCTCCCTGTCCCTCGACCTGGGGGAGGGAAGAGGGAGTCATGAGAAGTGAGTGAGCCCTACCTGGCCCATTCCCAGGACCATCAGCACACCCTCAGTTCTGCCCACCCTTTCTCCGAATGTGGGCTCTTCCTTTCCGGAGATTCCCTGGGAACTTCTTCACTTTGCTGGGTGACCTTGGGCAAGGCCCTCCTCTCTCTGAGCCTCCATTTCCTCGTCTGTCCAATGGAGACCTTGTTTCCTGCCTAGGCTGTCCTGGGGGGACCAGGGGATGCCATGTGCAATCTCAGGGCTCCATGAAGGTGAGGTGCCACCTGTCCCCAGGCACAGTGCGTGGCTCTCCTCCCAGGACCTGCAGGCTGCCATGGGATTGGGAGGATGTGGCAGGCAGGAAAGATGACAGAGTAGCTCACCTTGGAGGGCTCCTCCATCCCCTGTCCCGCTGCAGGGAAAGTGGGCTTTGAATGGGCCCCAAGTCTAGGAAGTTTCTGGCAGGGTTCTCAGACATCTTGGGCCCCCGTGGCTGGGGTGGCAGGGGCTGACTCTTGGCCAAGGGCGGTTCTAGCCAGGAGCAGGGGAAGCCAGAGCCACTGCCCCATTCCTGGGCTTCGAAGAGGTTGCAGAAGGTCCCCACCAGACTCTCACTGTGGGACACAAGCTTCAGATCTTATGTGTTTGAAAGGTATTCACGATGTTCTTTTAATCACCTCTCCCCCTCACCTCTGTGAATTGCCATGAAGAGCTCTTTAAGAATATAATAGAAGACAAAGAAAGATGCTATTAATGTTATTTTGCCAAAAATATTTTTGTAGCATAATATATTAATAAAAGACATTATGAATTCCACGAACGGTGTCTCTGTGTGCTGACAGCCCCTCCTCCCACAGGGAGCATGCGGGAAATCGCCTTTCCTGGGAGGGCCTGAGGCAGTGGTGTGGGCAACTGGAATGGGCCCATTTTCCCTGCAAAGACTCGGCAGGTTCTGGGAGGGTGGTTTGGGCAGGAATCTGGTGGCTGGAGAGACCTCATGCCAACTGGGGTCTGGATAGCCCTCTCCGGCCAGAATGAGCTGCCCCCAGGCCTAGAGAAGGAGTCGCTCGCCGCAGCAGCAAACCTAGAACCTGGGGGTCAGCCTCGGGGCCCCCGTTTCTCTGACTCTCTCACTCACCAAGAATCTCACTAGTGATTCTTCCTCATTAATCCTTCCGCCCCTCCACCCCCTTACTCGACCCTACTCCAGGCCTCCTCGTCTTCCTCGGAACCACTGCCCAGACGCTGTGTCCCCTCCAGGCCACTCTCCCCTCTGCAGCCAAAGCGAGCTCTACAAACCACAAAAGTGACCGCACTTCTCCCCTGCTTTTAAAACTCTTCCATGTCTCGCCACTGTTCCCAGGACAGAGGTCAAGGTCACATACGGCCCTCTGAGAACCAGGCCCTGCCCATGTCCCAGCGTGAGAATCACATCTTGCCAGTTCCTTTCCCGATCTTCAACACCCAGAGTCACTGCCTGCCTCAGTGTTTCCAAAATTCGTCCTGCTCTTCACCACCCTCTGCCTTTGCACGCGCTGTTCTGGCACTGACTGTCTTTGCTCATCTCCACCCCTCACTCATGAGCTCCTACACGTCCTACATGACCCAGCTCCGGGGGCGTCTACTCCACAAAGCCTTCCCCTACTCCTCAAGCCAAGTTAGCTGCTCCTCCCCTCCGCTCCCCGGCTCCCTGTTCACTGCACACCTGGGTTGCGCGGAAATGATCTGCACTGGGCCCGCCCCTCCGCTTGGCTTCCTGGGGCCAGGACCATGGTTGTTCATCTCAGAATTGTCACCCCAAGCGTAGGGTTTGACATCTAGTGGGTACTCATGGAAAAGTGATGGAGTCAATGAGAAGGAAAGGAAGAACAGGAGAGAAGACTTCAGGTACAAAATATATCTTTTATATCATATCATATGTCACATTTCAAACGTTAGCTGGCTGGGACCTACACAAGGGGTCTGTGCTGCAAGTCCCACCAAGGAAGAGACTTAGCCCCTGGGACCTGGGGGGATGGGGGCAGGTCACTGAGAAGTTTGGAGTAGGAGAGGTCTCCATTCTGACAGCCCAGAGCCTTCACCAGAGGAGGTGCCTTGGCCATGGGTAATGAGTTCTTGCTGGCTCCGACCGAGAGTCACGTGGACCGCACGTGGTGGGCCCGCCTCCAGATGCAGGTAATAGTGCAGCTGGGAGCTAACGTTCATTGAGCGTCTCCTGTGTATCAGACGATGCCCTAAGTGTTCATAAGTCTTGCATCATTTCATTCTCACAACTTCCCTTCCTTCTCTCTCTTTTACAAATAGAGTGACTGAGGCACAAGAGGTTGAGTAACTTGACCACAATCACAGGGCTGGTAAATGCTGGAGCCAGGATTGGAACCCAAGTAGTCAAGCTCCAAGACGATGCTCTGGACTTCCACTCAGCTGTGCTGTGCTGTCAGGTGGGGGCTGTGGCCTGTGAGGGGGGCAAGGAGGCATCTGCACCCCCATTTCAAAGCCAGGTGGGTGAGCTCAGGACCCATCCGAGGCCCAGTGCAGTGAGCGTCTCTGTGTCCTAGAGCCCACCCAGACGTTTGTTCCACCTCCTGACTCTGGACAGAGCTCCAGAGAAGCCTCGCCTTGCTCCCCCCACACCCCACCCCACCCCCCCACTCCAGCCGTGATGGTCCTTAGGGTTGGCATGAGAGGGGTGAGGATTCCTGCTGTGACCCGTGCCCACTGTGTTCTCTGCCCCTCACATACCAGCTGCTCTCAGGAAAGGAGGCTCCTGTCACCCGCTCACCTGGCAGCTCAGTGGGAGAGTGAGTCTTCAATTCAAGTGCCCCCTGGAGAAGAAGCTGTGGCCCGGGGACGGGGCTCCGACAAATGGAATGGGTGACTGAGGGCACCAGGGACTCCTCAGAGTCCTGACACGCTGCTCTCCCTGTGGCAGCTGGTGGCAGGAGGGGAGACCAGGTGTTTGCACACAGTGCACTCGACTGTCAACTGTCGGCACCTCCTGATGGGAGCCCTGGGCCCCCCCCCAACCGCCTCACCCCCCGCCCCACCCCCACCCCTTGCTCTGAGCTGGCTCCTGCTGAAGTGCTCTGTGGGGAGGAACTGGATGCCCCATCTGAGAGTAAATCATTAGATTTAGGGGGACCCCATCTCAGCCCCAAATCTCTGCGAGTGACCTAGACAGGCGCCCTCTCTATATAACTGCAAACTCAGAGCTGGGCCCATGGGGGCAGCGACCAGGAGGTGAGGAAGAGCTTCCCAGAGCCAAACATGCTGCCGAGGAGGGAGTGAGACATGGGAGGCGTGAGACAGGAGAGCTCTCGATGGAGACAGGATCCCCACCCCAGGGCGAAGGCTCCAGCCCCAGCTCTGCCCTGCCTGCTGTGTGGCCTTGGGCAAGCTCTGCCCCTCTCTGGACCTCAGTCTCCTTATTTGCATGAAAGGAGCAAATTGTATTCACTAAAATTCCTTTGAGAAAGAGCAACATCTTTGTTTGGAAGACTGCCTCCATGGAGGCCCAGGTAGGAAGGAAACCCCCTTCTCCCACCTCAGAGGAGTGGAGGGAAGATATTCTCTATGCCCAGGGAGAGAAATGTTGTCCTTTTGTTCCTGAAAAGGAGGCAAGAGAAAGAAGGAATCAAGAGAAGGAAGGAAGAGAAGCGAGGCGCCAGGAAGACGGAAAGAAAATGAGGAAAGTGGGAACAATGCCTCCCCGGTGGGGAGAGGAGCTGCAGATGCCATCTTCCTGGATGCCGGGAGCACCCTGCCTCTGTCTGCTCTGCCCGTCTCCAGTAAATTCTCCCTCGCTTGTGAAGATTTGGGACAAGCAGGAACACGGAAGGGGCTGACTTTCACTGCCAAATTGACATGGGGTGAAACAGACCTTCAAGGTCAATGACAGGGAGCTGGAGGTCAACGAGACCACAAGAGTGTGAGCCCCAGGGGCCAGGGAATTCACAAACTCTGGGAGGGCTTGGACTACTGCCACGGAGCTGGGCATCCAGAATGATCTCACCCAGGTATATTGGAGCAGGATTGCCCTGGTCACGTCTGCATTACAGGTGGACAGAACTAACAAGCTTAGACCTGCCAGCCTTGGGCTCATGAGCTGAGGAGTATGGGAGCTCCAGGGCTCATGGAGCTGGGCAGCAGAGCCTTGCACCTCCTCCCTACCTCCAGGGCTGCCAGGCAGAGGAAGCACCCAGGCGGGCGGATGCAGGCTGGGCCGGGCTGGGTGGGGCGAGAGTGGGGGGACTCCAGCTGCCTACGCACTGCAGCCAGCAAGCCAAGCGAGCCAGGCCAGCCACTGTTACGGCATCGTAAAAAGAAATTATTTTCAGAAAATATTTATAAAACCCTGTTTTATGTAGGTTCTGGGCTTGCAAAACAGTTCCTGTGTTTTCTTTTTTCATATTTTCCATTTCTTCCTCCCTGATCAGTCACAAAAAAGGCCGGATAAAATTTCCAGCCTGAAGACACAAGTCCCCAGGCAAGGAGTTGAGACTCACAGGCTTCTCAGAGGTCCCTTCCTAGTCCTCACCACCTCCTCTTCCCCAAGACTCGGGAAAGGTGGAAAGGGAGCTACGCGGATGGAAAAGGGATGGGGGAGAGGATGCAGGAGGCGATGGGTGAATGAGAGAGATAAACACACAGAAAGACGGAGTGAGGATCCAGAGAGAGTGAAGGACCAGCAGAGAGAGAGACAGGAGGGAGAGACAGGAGGGAGAGACAGACAGACAGACCAGAGACAGACAGACAGACCGTCCTGGAGAGAGAGAAAGAGGAGAATGAAAGAGAGTGGCAGGTGGAGACAAAGAGAAGCACAGCTGAGTGAGCACCGAGGTAGAGGGACAGCACCGACTGGAGTCGGACCACAGCAGGGTGTCGGCAGAGCAAGGAGGCCGCAGCGTGGATTCACAGCCCCGGCTGCCACGAGGGACGGCTCCTGGGAGCAAACCGTCTCCTCCTCCCAGGGAAACCTGAAAACACGAATTGCTTCCAGGGCCCACCTGGCTCCCCCAGCTCAGTGGAGCAGCCCCTCACCCTTCATGCCCCCTGTGAAGTTCTCCAGGCTCAGCCAGGGGGGTGGGCCGGTCACCAGGGGAGTCCCTTCCTTCGCAGCCTTGTTCTCCTCATCTCTAGAATGGGGATAATAGAAAAGCTCTGACACAGGTTGCAATAAGCTTTTAATGAGATGGTGGATGTATAAATGCTTTGAAAACCAAGGCCCAGCACACTTGTCAGCTGTACTGCTGGTTCTGCCGGCGGCAGAGACCAGCAGCACAGGCGGAGGGCGGTGAAACAGCCCACTCAGCCGGGGCCTGCGAGCAGGTCAGTGTGGCCGAGCACAGGGCTCCAGGCCACAGCCAAGGGCCATTGCTGGAGGGGTGAGGGAGGGCGGGTCTGGACTGCTTGGCTGTGCACTTTAGAAGTTGGTCCTTTATCAAGAAGCCTGTGGGAGCCACTGATGTCAGCTGTGTGCCCCTGAGCACGTGACTCAAGTTCCGTAGGATTAAATGTCTGCAACCTAGTGGTCAGTGCACGCTGGCGTGATGGTGTTGGATGGAGCTGTGATTTTGCAAACCTCCCTGGCTGCCCTCTGGAGGAGCATTAGGGGTGAGTGGGCCCTGGACTAGGTCAGGGAGGGAGGGGGATCAGAGGAGGGGCGAGGCTGGCTCTCAGCCACTGAATCTCAGTTTTCCCATCAGCAAAATGGGGGAGGATCAGCCCAACCCCACAGAGGTACCGCGAGGACTTAGGATAAAGTGGACGTGCCTGGGCTTTGTGGAACCTAAGGCTGGAGTCCTTTGTGGTGGTGATGATGATGAAGATGAGGGAGGAGGGTATTAACTGAGCCCCGCTCCGCCTCACGCCCCCTCCCAGGGACACAAAGACACAGGAATTCACATGGTCCCAGGGCCTTTCCTCTGTGATGATGGGGCGGGGCAGCACCACTGGGAGCGAGTGCCCTGACAACCACCAACTGCAGGGTGCTCGGTTCTCAGCCCTCTGGAGCGAGCGCCCACCCGAGTCAGACCCCGAGCCACAAACACCAGACCTGGAGGGGCCAGGGCTCGCCTGCCTTTTGGCAGCTGCCACCAGGGGGCAGTGCTGCTTGGGCTGTGACCTCAGGTTCCCAGCAGGTGACCTGAAGGAGCCAGGCTTGAATGCGGGCCAGAGAGGACCTGGCTCCCCCTTTGGGTTCAGGCCCCTCATGCAATGGATACAAGGACCCCAAGGGGAGACTTTCCCAAGGCCTCTTGGCACGTGTGAGGTGGAGGGAGAGCCCAGTGGCCGGACTCGCAGCCATCCTTCTGGCTACCTGAATACTGGGCATTAGGCCGAAGAGGCCAGTTCACCTGGGCCTCAAATGCCTTCTGTTCCCCATACCTGAGCCTGCAGGGGCCAGGGCTCTATGCTCAGATCCCGGTGTGTGTAAATTTGTTTAAAAAAATTCATTCACTCAACAAAGGGTTGTCGAGAGCCCACACTGGTGTGCCCTGGGCCCCCACCTAGAGCACTGTGTCCCCCTGCTCTCCCAGAGCCTGCAGCTTAGTGGGGGCAGACACCAAGGAGCCACAGCACAGTACGGGATGGTTCCCGCAGGGCAGGCCCTTCCCCGAGGGCAGGGTTGATGCGGGTGCACATCTGCTCCCTCCCTCCACTCCTCCCTTCCCTCCTCCTTTCCAGGCCTCTGCAGTTCACCCAGCAATCTCTGCAGCCACCCGTCCACTTCCCTCCCTCCAAACCCCTGCTCCAGCCACATGGAACTACTCAGGGTTCCCTGAACAGACCCCCAGTTTCCTGACTCCAGCTATCAGCCTCCACTGTCCCCTCCACAGCTAAGCGCCCATTCTCCCTATTTGTACCTGAAAATTTTCTTCCTGTTCTCCAAGCCCTTGTTTAATTCCACCTCCTAGTGGAAGTCGCCCTGGGCCCCCAGCCTCCCACTTCACGCCTCTTCTGAAGTCCCAGGCCCTGCTTCAAATGTTTGCAGCCTACTTATCTTTTCTTCCCTCTTATCACCCTTAAAAAAAGAGAGAGAGAGAAAGCCCGTGTCCACAGAGAGCAGCCTTACTCGTCCTCGCTTGCCCTGAGTGAACAGTCTTTAAAACGGGGGACCTGTGACTAGTATCGAGTTCATCCACTTTATGTCTGAAGATGAAGCACTGTGCAGGATTAGTATCACATTTTGTTCATCAAAAGCAAAACTGAAAGAAATGCCAACCTCTAGGTACAACACAGGTCTGCGCCTTCCCTCTCACACGCGTGGTTTCCAAGAGAAAACCTCCAAATCAGTGTTTTTCAACCGGGGTAGTGTCACCACCCGCAGGCGTTTTGGAAATCGGTGGGGAGAGCTTGGCTTCATCCATTTCTTGGGATTGAGGTGTGACCACGGGCCAGGATGGTTGGTGTCCTGCAAAGAGTCCCCAACAAAGAATTATCCCCTATCCTGCATGATTTTCGCATGTGTTGCCAGACGTTCACTAAGGGAGAATAAAATCATTTGTAATTATCTGAGCCTAGAACCATTTTATGTCAACACAAAATATTTTGTTTTTGCAAAGTTTTCACGCTCACTGCATCTTATGGGAATGCAATACATGGTCATCGAGAGAAGCATGTACCTTGTTTTGTGCCAAACTTTACCAAGAGTTGTTCACCACTTCTGAAAGCCACCTTCCAGACAGCCCTGCTTGTGTATTTAGAGCATCAGAGCAACACGTCTGTGGCCCCGTGCTGTAGCTTCGCAGTCCTGGCAATTGACAGACAAGACAAGCGCTCAACCATTGCAACACGGCCGCTAGTATTGTTACACCCACGCATCGACATCCCGAATTACATATTGTCTTGTTATCAACTATTTTCCTTCTATTTCTCTTTTTACTTACAGTTAGGGCATGAAATTAATTTTTAAAATCAGATGTGTGGGTGTGTTATATTATCCATAAATTTCGTTTCAAAACAGAAAGGAGCATTATAAAATATTTGTAATAAAATGGGACCACGGACCTGAAAGTGTTGAGAGACCCTGCTCTGGACGTTTCTCTCAACACAGAAAAATGAAGAGGCCTGAGCCTCTGTACCAGCCCCTGGGACCTAGAGCAAAAGTCCTTTTCTCCTGCTTTCTGCCCCAGCCTTTTCTGCGTGATTTTCCAAGAGTAGCGCCTCTCGAGGGGCAGCGAGGCAGCGTGGTGTGTTGCAAAGAGCAACAGGCCTGGGCCTGAGACTCTTTGGCTGCTTCTGATTATCTTTCCTTGGGCTTGTCACTTACCCCTCAGTCTTATCTGCCTCATCTGGGAAATAGGCTGATTGAGACAAGGGATCAAAGTGGTTCATATCCGTCAAGTCAACGTCAACACAAATTACTATGGTTGTTGAAAGAGGATAAGCATGTGCCCTGAATTTGCACAATCCCCCAACCTTCACTCAGGGACCCCAAGTGGGGTTAGTGGAAGATTACGGCTAATTCAAGCCCAAACTGGGCCCCAGTCCTGCTTTGCCACTGACTTCATGAATAACACAAGACCAAGGACATCCCCTTTCTGAGGCTCAGTTTCCCTATTTGAAAAACTCAGGAATGAGAGCTGATGATCTTTAAAAAGCCTTCTAGCTTTGACAGACTACACTGTCAAGATCTTTCTCCACCCTCCAATCTTTAACTCAGTTCCCAGGCTTTGAAACCACCCACTTCAAAAAAGTTAGTTTGTACCAAATGCTAAAGCTCACCAACTTGCTGCTGCTTCTAGCAGCTTCCAGTCCAGAAGCTTGGCTGTCATTTAAAGGGGCCACCGGACTTCTCCAGGACACAGTGAGAAGCTCCAGCTGCATGTTAGAAGTGCTCCAAACACAGCCAAGCAGAGCCCATCTTTAAACAGAGGCACAAGGCCACACCAGGGTACGTGGTTGGTGGTGGCATGGCAACAGGGGGTGTTTGGAGCAGGAGTCAGGGAGAGCAGCCATGGGGTGTAGGGTGTGGACAGGATGGGTAAGAGGGAGCCACCCAGGAGGATTTTCCGAAGAGGTGGATACGAACCTCTGGAGGCTGTGTAAATGTCAGGGAAGGAGGGCCCAGGGGAACATGCTAGAAGAGGCGTCTGGGGCCAGCAAAGATGTGAGCTAGTAGGGAGTCTTAGGGGACGTGAGGATGAGGGAAGTAAGGGGTCTGGAGCAGGACTTGGAAGTCCAGACTGTGGATTTTGGATTTGATCAATGGCTGTCACTAAACGTCTTTTATTAGAGAAGATGGAAAGAAATCTTGTCTCTCTCTGGGATACTGAGGCTCCTGAGGAGGGCAGGGCTGGTGGCCAGGCCAGGGAACTCAGGAGGCACGGAGGGCTGAGCCAGCTCTCACAGCGGGCCCGGGCCCGTCTGCCAGATCAGGAAAGAGAAACAAACACAGGCCGGCCGGATCCGGCTCAGGCACGCAGCCCCGCTGAAGGACCCCTGGATCTCCATGCCTGGCCCGGTACCTTCATGGGCCGCCTGCTGGAGGGCTCACGGGTTGCCGTGTCAGACCCGTGCGGGAAGTTCCTCCAGGGAACTAATCATCTGCCACCCCTTCAAGCCCTCCTGGTTCCATGCTTCACCGGGACTCAGGCCAACAAGAAGAGGTGTTTGCCTGCTGTGGTTTCTGCTGCATGAGGCCGCTCCCTCCTCAGAGACAGCTGCCCAGCCCCTGCTCTGGCTCCAGGATAGCACTTTCCTTTCAGCTTTTGAATTTCAAAGCAAACCTGAGGCTGACTGCAAACAGACGGATGGGGTCGTAAAAACCTCCAAGCCAGGAGCAAAGAGGCTCCTTTGGCAAAACACGTCCCTGCGCCCACGCTGGGCTCCTTCCTCTCCCGGCCCCTGCTCGCTCTTTGCTGCAAACACACCACACGTCTTCCTCACCTTCACCTGTCCCAATGCTACCCCGCCTTCGAGGCTCAGCACCAGCCTGAGGTTTTCCAGGCAGCCTCTGTGACTTCCTCTCCCAGACCCCACAACTCCCCACCCGCCCGCCCGCCCGCCTGCCAGACTGCTCTCACCTTTGAGCTCCCGGGGTACTAACTCCCTGTACCCTTCCTTCCCTGGGTATCCACCACATCTGGTATTGCTGGCAACTTTTTTGCATTATCTCATCTCTCATATAGATTCTAGGCTTAAGAGCAGAAAACAACTTCCCCTTTGTGGCTAATCCAGTGCTGGACACCAGGTAGAGGCTGAATCACTGCTAACTGGGTGCTTTCATGAAAACGTAACTATACGGCTTAAATAAAAGTAGACAGGAAGTGGATGGAGTCAATATTACCTCTAAGCAGCTGCTGTGGGGATTTGTTATTATGCAACACAGGAAGTGTCGGTCTACTGGGCAGTGGGGGATCCATTTCCAAGTTGCACTCGAAGCAGGAAATGACTTCACTGAAAAGGATGCCCTGTCATGTCCACAGAGTGAAGAAGATCTCCTGGCAGAGGGAACAAAGAGACAGGACAAAGAGCAGGAACGTTAGGACGGTGGCCTGGTGGAATCCCAGCTCTGCTCTTTACAAGCTATTCGACCCCTGTCGAATAGTGACTCAGCTTCCCTGAGCCTCAGCTTTGTTATCCATAAATGGGAATGAGAATAATATCTGCCCTGCAGGATCGTTGTGATAATGGTGCTCAAGATGTGCTGAGCGTTATCATCAAAGACAGGCCTGCAGGCCAGGCAATGGCAGGAGGGAGCCACCCCTGGTCATCCTGGCTGGCAAGAAGAACAGACACCCAGTCGGGGTTGGAGGAAGCGAGAACTGCTTCCACTTATCGAGGGCTTGCTCTGTGCCACCTGACATGTAAAGGCCATTTCAATCTTCACAACATCCTTGAGAGTAAAGACCACTGTCCCCGCTTGACAGATGAGAAAACCAAGTTCCAAGAGGTCAGATGATTTGCTCGTGGTCACCATCCAATGTCAAGCTCCAAAACCTGCACACTTAGCCACTCTCCTATACTGCTGACAAAAGCCGGACATTTGAGGCAAAGAAACTACTACAGAGCGGGATGTTACTTGGAACTTTTCCTGGGGTCTGCAAGTCACGGCCAAGGCCCCAAAGCTGAAGACAAGGCTTCCCAATTCGGAGGAAGGCAGTCAGACCACCCGTGCGGGACTTGCTGAGGGGCAGCAAAACTGGCTCAGCACCCCACACACTGCCCTGCCCCAACCAACCAACCCTGGGGTGGGATTGAGGCCCGAGCATCCTCAGGGGAGTGCAGCAATGAGAGCGGACATCAGAGCACGAGCTGAGGGAGCGGTGGAAGATGCCAGCCAGGGAGGGCTTTGTCCATGTCAGGAAAGAGCACAGTGGCTCTGAAGACCCCACATAAGTCTCCAGCCAGAGAAAGTGCCAGTATTTGGACATGTACACACAGTGGACACTGATGTCCTCTTTTCCTTCATCTCACCTCCCCGCCCAGCCTCGCAGGAGCCGGAAGCAGCCTCCAGCCAGGGGAAGAGGTTACAGGGCCTACCCTGAGCTGAGCGGAAATGAACACTTAGAATTTTATGAGAAATTTAGATTGATTCTGATCAGATGAGAGTTTTTACTACATCCCTGATAGTGATGGGGAAAGCTATCGTCTACGCAAGAGGTCATCCAGGGGTGAGGAAGGACCATACAGCCAGTTGAAAGGAGTGATGGTTGGGGGGATTAAAGTTGTTTCCTCTTTGCATCCCACCGAGTCCAACAGATGGATCGGCAGGTTACCTTTGGAAACCAGGCCAGTGGAGTGGCCACACGAGCAGCAGCCGGAGGACAAGGTGAGAGAGAATCCAAACCAGACCAGCACTGGGGTCCTGCCCTCCACTGCCTGGGGAACCATCCTCGCCGGCTCGTCTGCAAGGGGGCTTAGGAGGCCCATACAGAATCGCTGACGTGGCTCTCCAGAACCATCGAATACAGTCACAACTGTGTGAACTACCCAGGAAGCTGTGTACAATTTTCACTCCTCCATATGGCTCAAGCACACCCAAAATGAAAGTCCAAGTTATTCATAAAAGGCTGCAGGGTTTGTTGTGTGGATGTGTCTGAACTGGGGAGACCATTAGAGTCCAGATTCTGAGCCCAAGGAGAACCAAGTCAGCATCCAGCAGGTTCCACTGCATGGTGAAACATTTGGTCAGAGGACTCTACATATGAGACCCTTGAAAATGGTGTCTCTTTGGCTTAAAGTAAGGTCTTGATTCACAAACCCAGCACTCAAGCTCATGCCTCTCATGGAAAAGGCCAGTATCCAACATCCACTGACACCCACTCTTCTCTTGGGGCCCCGTGTTCCTGGTGTTCCCGGGCAGCGTGCCGGGTGTGATTCTTCTCAGGCGCTCTGCCATGGCCCTGAGAAGTCGGTGCTGCTGGCCCTGTTCTGTAGACATGGACGCTGAGAATGGGAAAGATGAGGAGCCTTTGCCTGGACCTCACAGTAGGAAGCGGCTGCAAGGATGAGAATTAAGGCCCACGAGACTCTAATCTGTGCTTTTTCAACTGCCCTAAGCCAGTCACTGGCCCAGCCCCAGCCCCTGCCTTTTGGAGCCCGGAACTCTGCCCTGTCCAGACCTTACCCACTCTCGGCCCCCAGCTCAACTCCATCCTTCAGAGAACCCACTGCCCTGGACTACCAGGCGGGATCCTCCTTCGCCTGGGACCCCATCACACTGCACTACTTGCCCTCATATGGCTCATGTCAGTCTGACTTGTGTAACCACATTTATAGGTAGCCAGATATTTTTTAAATGGCTCCCTCAGTCCGGGGCCTTTTCTCTGTCCACACTTTCTCCTTTGGTGACCTTGGCCAGTCCCAAGGCTCCAAATACTCTGTGATGAGTCCCAAAGCTACACCCAGCCCAGCCTCTGCCCTGACATCCAGATGCTGTGTCCTCTGCATTTGGATGTTAGAAAGCATCTCCCCATATTCAAAACCAAACCTGTGCTTTCTGCCCCCAAATCTGCCCCTCCCCCAGCATGCCAGCTCAGTAAATGGTGCCACCGTTTACCTGGTCCCTCAGAGCAGATACTGTGGAGTCGATCTCAATTGCTGTTCTCCTCATCTTCTGCATCCTTTCCATCCTGTTACTTCTACCATCGGACCGTATACATAAATGGACCAGTCTCTCCGTCTGCTGCTACCCCTGTGGCTGAGCTACCCCTTTCTCTCCAGCCTCCCAGCTGGTTTCCCTGTTGCCATCAACCCCAGTCTACACTCCACAAGGTCACATGATCCTTTTAAATGTAAATTAGATCATGGCATCCCCTGCTCAGAACCCCCAGTGCTTTCCCATCAGACTTAGAATGAAATCACCGTTGCTTGCCCAGCCTGTCAGGCCCTCCCGGACCCAGGTGTCTCTCTGACATCACTCCCTACCCTTCTCCTTGCTCACTCTATACCAACCATATCAGTCTCCTTATTCCTTGAACATCCTCAGCATCTTAAGTGTTAGGGCTTTGCACTTTCTGTTCCATCTGCCCAAAATGCTCTTCCCCTAGGTGCTTACTGACTACCTCTCACCCTCTTCACATCGCTGCTTAAAGGTCACCTTCTCAGAGGCCTTCTCTGGTCATCCCGTATAAAATATTGCCCCAGGACTCTCTCTGTCACTTATCCCGTATTAGTTTTCTTCATTTCACTATCCACCACCTGACGTTGTATTATAGATTCTTTATGTACCTGATGTCTCCAACCTCCAGCCAGAGCTCCTGGTGGCTCATGCCCTCTCTGCAGTCACTGTCCCGTCGCCACTGTCTGCCTCAGAGCCCACTCAAAGAATATTGGAGGTGTGAACGTTGAAAAGTTCTGTTTGCCGTGAAATTAGGGTTACGTA